TCATGTATATATATATATATATATATATATATAAATATATACATTATATATACATTATATATAACAAATTTTATATTTATATAATATTTATATTATAACACATTATATACATAACTATTTGTGAATTTGTGAATTTGTAAATTGTGATTGCTTATTTGGAATATCTCATGCTTTTTATAAATAAACATAATAATAATGAATAAAAATATGAAATATGAAAAGTCCTTTATTAAAAATGAAAATAATTGGTTTGATGGTGATGGGACATTTCATAAACTGAATATTTCATAAACTGAATATTTTATAAATATGAAATTTCATGTAAAGACAATTCATAGAGTGGACATTTCATAGAGTGGACATTTAATAGAGTGGACATTTCATAGAGTGGACATTTCATAGAGTGGACATTTCATAGAGTGGACATTTCATAGAGTGGACATTTCAAATAAGACATTTCATAGACAGAGAAGATTTTCATTTTTCTTTCATTTTGAAACCTCTCTTCAAAAATCCTTTATTTTTATTTAATAATAATTTAAATTTCACTTTAAAAATAATCCAAATGTTAAAGAGTTTATTAATTCTTCTTTAATTTTTAAAATTGTTGATTTTAATTTTATTTTCTTAAAAACTTTTTAATTTTACTTTTCAAGCTTAATCGTGACCTTCTTAAAAGTTTAGAATAAAAAAGTTATGAAAAAGATGAGTTTATTCTCATTTAAAACCTATATCTCTCTTAAATTTTTATAAAACTTTCTGATGTTGCTTTTGAAGCTTTAGCGTATAAGCTTCTTAAATTTTAGAATATATGAAATGAGTTCATATCATCTTTTTTATTTAAATTCTAAATCTCTCTTTAAAAATCCTTTCTCTTATTTGATAATAAACTAAATAAGATTGACCATAGAAATTCATTTATATATCTTTATTCCAAGTTCTTTTTGCATATTAGGTATCTGTTATTTCATAACATACACGTAAATCAAAATATAAAATCAAGTTAAAAAATTTGGAAAATGTCAAAGCAAAAAAATCAAACCCCAATGAGAGCAAAAGTACCATAAAGAGTGTTTTTTCAAAGCTTTTGTAAAGGAACTATATATTTGCTCATTTTCTTAACATCTATTTTTTACTTTGTATCTTTGCAACAGGGTTTTATAGTCCATTCATATGTCCAAATTATAATTCTGACTGATCAACTAGTAAATCTCTAACCTAATAATATAATTTTTAGCCAGTTAAATTTTTAAGAAGGTTGTTTTCTTAAAGCGAAGATTTAAACAAATTGTATTTGAATTTATTGAAACGCTGAATTTAAAAATCCTCGAAATACGAGTAAATCAAGAATCTTAAAAATGCGCAAAAGACGAGTAAATCAAAATGTTAAAATTTACATAATTTATTATTAATGAGAATATAAATTTATCACAGGAGATATAGCATGGTTTAGCTTGAGATTCATGCTGGTTTTATACAACAGAAAATAATCTAATACTGGGTTAGGTTCGGATTTGAATCCAGATAAGGATGGATGAGACGTTATCTCTTCTCCAGGAGAAGTTTTCCGTCCAGAGAGGAGTGTATACCCAATCCGGAGCTAGGATATACTTTGTCTAAGTACTTGATACTTTCGTTGAGATAGTTCTGAATAGAGGTGAGAGCAGCAACTATAGCTGGAGAACCGAAACCGTGTGTAATCATGGAGAAATGGGTTAGATGTCTCTGTATACTAGGATCTAGGATAGGTTGGGGTCTGGTGTTGCAGAGAGGAGATCTATCCTGGTTCAACAGGTCCATCAACTCTTTTGTGACCATTCTGAAAAGAAAGAAAAAATAAGTAAAGATAAGTAAGTCTGAACTTTTTTCAGTTCCAGGATTTTAAGATATTACAAATTTTTGAATTTACTTACTTTGAGGCAAAAAGTAACTCTTTTCGTCGGTAGATATCCGCTGAATCACTGCATTGTCTGGAGAGATACTCCGCAACCTGCCGGGCTGGGAACTCTGTCTCACACACGTATCCGAAGTCCCTGGCCAGGTGGATCGCCTCCCCCTCCACCAGGGATGTCAGCAGGGTCACGTTGGCAGCCTTCCTTCTCCCAGCAGGAAGGGTCATTCCTAATTTATCCAGTTTATCTCTTAACAGTTTTCCTCCGTCCTTGGACTTGGCTCGTCGGAGAACTCCTCCCAGCAGGGACGCATTGAGACACTCCGGAGGAGAGAGTCTTCTCTGAACCTCAGCTATGGTGACCTTGTACTTAGAGGTTGAGGAGAGGAGGGAGAGCCTACCCGGAGTAGAACAGAATATATCGCTAGGATTCATCTTATGAAGAGCAGGAGGAGGATTGTGATGTTCAGGAGAGTATAAGGACAACTCTTTCTTTATGATCGGAGCCATTTCTCCATATCCCTCACTTCCCTGTATATTCTGCTGCTGGAGTATATCCTGACTCTCTAGTGGAATCCGTCCGTACTCCCGTCTTAAAGAATCATAGGAGAAGGAGTGAAGGTTTGACTGTTGAAAGTGTTGCTGGTACGGATCATGATGCAAGGGTTGAAATCCGTCCGCCTGATGATGAGAAACGGCGGATGAACCGGATATCGAGGTCGGAAAAGGCGGCGGAAAATAAGGCGGCTGAAACTCTGTCATGGTGGTAGTCTCGGAGAAGTACCCTAGTTTTGTCATGAGTAATATGAAGGGTTCGAAGCAGGTTTATTATCCACCTGTTCCGTCTCTGGTATAAAATAGACTGTCGTATCTCTCTCTCCAGTATGGACCGGTAGTTTACGCTCCTCAGCGCTGCAGATTCAACCAATCACAGCCTCCGGCTTATCCAATGGCCGCAGGGCGTCCAGCCAATAGCAAGCCTCCGTCCCCGAGCAAGTTTCTCTGGCCTTGCCTTAGCTCCTGGCTAGAATGATAAGCAAAATAATGCAGGTGGTGGAGAATCCTATAGGAGAACCACTGTATGAACATATCTGCATTCTGAGTACATAATCTTAAATCTCTTAATCTTGATAAAAATACACTAAATACCTTTCATCTTCTTTAATCTTCTCAGCTTCAGTTTAAAGGAATTGTTTTCAGTGTAATCTCTGAAGTGAACTTTACTTTTAAAAGTCGGATTCACAATGGTGTCCTTTAAACCCGAATAACAATGAGAAAGATATTGTCAATCTTCTATCTTAAAACGAGTTTAACTCCTACAATTTCCTTCATGTATACTGCAGCATAAATCCGCTTTTATAGAGAACCATGCAACAAAGATATTAAAGATTAATATAAGAATAAGGATAATTTATTCAAGAATTCAGGATCAGTTAAAGATTTAAACGGAACCATGTGAATCTGACATTCCTCTCTATTGATGGAAAGTCACTTAAACTTACATTTTATAGCTTTTTATGGTTCTCATGTAAACCACGCCTGGTATCTTTCAGCATAAACTACTTAAAAACTCATGAATGAACTTCACATTAAGCTAAAGTAAATTGCGCGTACTATTGAAATCTATGTTTTCAAGCATAGCTTCTGTTATCGAAGAGTGCTGAGAAGAAAAAATGTTTTAATGTTTATTATACAACCACATAGATTTGTTTATCTAATACTAGTGCATCAAATCAAAACTAGATGAGCTTTGAGGTCACAAAGTCGCTCCTTTTTATAGGTATTCTTTAAGAAGGCATTATGGTGAAAGACACTTTCTCTCAAAAATCACAAAAAAATTGAGATTACTTTTATGTAAAAGAACTTGAGCTGCACATTGTTTCAACATAATGGTTCTTTTTTGTTTTAAAGTATATTATATTGTATACGAAATCAAGTCATTAGTATCATAAAGAAGAGTTTGTGGCGGATAACCAATACTATCTATCTATCTATCTATCTATCTATCTATCTATCTATCTATCTATCTATCTATCTATCTATCTATCTATCTATCTATCTATCTATCTTCATTATTCAGGAAATTATAGTACACCATTTGTTTAGTACATAATATCTTAAAGGGACTATAAGCGTAATTTCAAGTGACCCTCCATGCAAAGATGACAATGCCCAATTTACAACGGTATACCCTTTAAAACTTTTATCTGAACAAAAATGTGGAAGATGCCGCCGTTTTTCTGACTCGCAAAGTGTTTATTTCTGCGAGTTTCTTCTTTGCTTCTTATAAACAAGAAATGCGCAAGTCAATTTTACAGAAAACTCGAAAATTAAAATGAACAGTTTAGAGAAACAAAAACATTGATATCTAAATTATATTTGATCAGATCAAGGTTTCAAGGGTATACAGTTGGAAAAATCAGATATTACCATCTTTGCATGGAAGGTCACTTAAAATAACGTTTACAGTTTTATATAAGTTTCCTAATGTGTAGGTTTACATTTAGGTGCACATATATATATACATACACCGTACACTGTACCTATATTAGACGAAAGAGAAGCCCCACTGTACACTGTACCTATATTAGACGAAAGAGAAGCCCCACTGTACACTGTACCTATATGAGACGAAAGAGAAGCCCCCCGGGCGATGCAAATTTTCTCCCGTTTTTGCCGACAGCGGTATCATCAACATTCTGGTTGAGCTATTAAACTAACATTAATAGGGGGAGGGAGGGCTCATCCCCCCTGCACCCCTTCCCTGTACTCCCAGAACCCCTTCCCCCTACCTTATCCTCTAAACCATCTTCTCTCACACGTATCCGAAGTCCCTGGCCAGGTGGATCGCCTCCCCCTCCACCAGGNTTTATATATTTATAATATACAGGGTTACCCTGAAAGGATGAGACTTCAGAGACGATTGTACAAATTTATATTTTCTGTTTCCTTATATTTAGGATTCCCTGAAAATGTAAACATTGAATAAGCCATAAAACGATTATGTTCAAAAGACTTGCAGTTTACCCCGGAATCGTCAAATTTAGTTTCAGGTCGTCTTTTAAGTCTCATTCTCTGTGAGTAACCCTGTATTTTCTTTATTAAAATGTATTCACGACACATCTTTGATTATAACTTACGTTTTTAAATCACAAAACTATTTTTTCCATCTTCCATAATTCTGGAGATTCTTAGATATTCAGTTAAAAAACTCAATTTTCTAATCCCTATCCTTGCATCCTAATATCTCAAACTAATTGATATATCATGATTCATAGTTTAAAATATCAAAGGTCTAGGACATGATCAAAGGATCAAAGGATCAAATGTTCAAATGATCAAAGACGACATGCAGTCTTTTTCTTACTTTTATGGTTGGATCCCTGTTGTAGCTTTAAACCTTTTATTTATTTTTCATATCATTTAACATGCACCATAGAAAACTATACTTTAGAATAATCTATTTACAGCGTTTGAGGTCGTCATTAAAGTCTTATACTTTATGAAGACCACTGTATATCAAGTATTTGATATTATTATCTACGACCACACATATTTTAAGAGGTAATGATGCTGTAGGGTGGAGATATCATGCTTGTGTCTAGATAGATATATATGATCTTTATCAGGCTCCGGGTACACACAGAGTACAGAGAGAAATATAGTTATAGGAGTAATCTGGGTACACCCAGAGTACAGAGAAATATAGTTATAGGAGTAATCCGGGTACACCCAGAGTACAGAGAAATATAGCTACAGAAGCTATCCAGATACACCCAGAGAACAGAGAGAAATATTGCCACAAGATCGAGTACACCCAGAGTACACCTATGTGAATAATCCGGAATCGAATAGAGCTATAGAGAGGAATTAATAGAATAAAGATGAACTAAAGAGGAATAGAATATAACTAAAGAGGAATTTAAGAGGAATCGTTAAAGAATTACCAAGTATTCTGGCGCTAGAGAAATAGAATAGAACCAAAGAGGAATAGAGAGGAATTAAAGAAATGAAATAAACTAAAAAAGTAAAGAATAAACTAAAGAGGAATAGAATAGAACTAAACAGAAAAAAAGAGGAATAGAGAGGAATTAGAGAAATAAAGATGAACTAAAGAGGAATGAGAGGAATTAAAGAAATAAAATAAACTAAAAAGAAGGAGAATAAAACTAATGAGGAATAGAATAGAACTAAAAAAGTAAAAATGAATGAGAGGAATTAAAGAAATGAAATAAACTAAAAAAGAAAAGAATAAAACTAAAGAGGAATAGATAAGGGTTTGCCAGGTGTTCTGAAGAGGAACTGGAAATAGTTGAATAATATTTGAAGAGGAAAAAGAGAGATCACATTCTTTCATAAACTTAATTGGATATATCAGCTTTCATATTTTAGATTAATTTTCAGATATCCTCCCCCCCGCCCTTCCAACCTATCTTCCACATATTCCCCCCTTGTATTTCTTTTTATCCTTATTTCTCTTCCTTCCCTCCCCTTCCATCATGCTAAAAGGTACTGAACAATTACAAGTAATTCTAATTTTGTAATCCTATATCTTTGCATACAAACGGTATAAACTTTTGATATTTCAAACCTAAACTATTTTATTTGTCACTTAATAATTTAAAATTAGAATTTGCAATAAGTGATTAATTTTTTTTACTCTTAGCCCTAAGGCTATTACAAATAAATGTCCCCAAATTATAATTTTCCGTTTTGATACAGTAAAACCCTTAATAACGAATACATCGGAAGAGTTTATCAAATGTCGTCTTGACAATTTTTCAATGAGTTGTATACTATATTACGTAAATTTCAGTATTTGCGAAAATAAATAAATAGCCATGAATATGCGGGAACAGTTTTAAAGAGCTCCATATAATAATTTAATTAAAAAACTATATATCTGCAACATTCCATTATCAGAAAGTGAAGAATACGACATTTGATGTATTCTTTCGATGTATTCGTTATTAAGGGTTTCACTGTACTTAAATACTAACCCTCTGAGATTTCTTTTGAACAATTCCTTTAATCAAACTTTGATTTAAAACAATGCATTTAAAAGTACAGGTTGTTTTCAGACGAAGATAATTTGGATAAATTGATGAATTATTTAAATCTGTTCGGATCTGTATATTTTAGAACTATTATTCCGTTAAACGATATTTAATTGTTGAGTTCTTCCTTTTAGCTTCATGAAACCTTACTACTCACTTTATTAACTGATGTATCAGCTTCATGAAACCTTACTACTCACTTTACTAACTGATGTATTAGCTTCATGAAACCTTACTACTCACTTTACTAACTGATGTATTCGTTTCATAAAACCTTACTACTCACTTTACTAACTGATGTATTCGTTTCATAAAACCTTACTACTCACTTTACTAACTGATGTATTCGTTTCATAAAACCTTACTACTCACTTTACTAACTGATGTATTCGCTTCATAAAACCTTAATGCTCACTTACTAACTTATATATTCGCTTCATAAAACCTTACTACCCACTTTACTAACCGATGTATTCGTTTCATAAAACCTTACTACTCACTTTACTAACTGATGTATTAGTTTCAGAAAACCTTACTACTCACTTTACTAATTGATGTAATGGCGTCATAAAACCTTACTGCTCACTTTACTAACTGATGTATTCGCTTCATAAAATCTTACTACTCATTTTACTAATTGATGTATTCGTTTCATAAAACATTACTACTCTTTTACTAACTGATGTATTCGTTTCATAAAACCTTACTACTCACTTACTAACTTATATATTCGCTTCATAAAACCTTACTACCCACTTTGCTAACTGGTGTTTTCGTTTCATAAAACCTTACTACTCCCTTTACTAATTGATGTAATGGCTTCATAAAACCTTACTGCTCACTTTACTAACTGATGTATTCGCTTCATAAAGCATCACTACTCACTTTACTAACTGATGTATTAGCTTCATGAAACCTTACTACTCACTTTACTAACTGATGTATTAGCTTCATAAAACCTTACTACTCACTTTAATAACTGATGTATTAGTTTCATGAAACCGTACTACTCACTTTACTAACTGATGTATTAGTTTCATGAAACCTTACTGCTCACTTTACTAACTGATGTATTCGCTTCATAAAACCTTACTACTCACTTTACTAACTGATGTATTCGTTTCATAAAAGCTTACTACTCACTTACTAACTTATATATTAGCTTCATGAAACCTCACTTCTCACTTTACCAACTGATGTATTAGTTTCATGAAACCTTACTACTCACTTTAATAACTGATGTATTCGTTTCATAAAACCTTACTACTCACTTTAATAACTGATGTATTAGCTTCATGAAACCTTACTACTCACTTTACTAACTGATGTATTAGTTTCATAAAACCTTACTACTCACTTTACTAACTGATGTATAAGTTTCATGAAACCTTACTACTCACTTTAGTAACTGATGTATTTGTTTCATGAAACCTTACTTGCAGTGAAATATTTAGTTTTTGTACAGTTAAACCCTTAATGAGCCATACACTAAAGAATTTTTCAAATGTCGTTTTGACAATTTATATCGGGTTTTTTACTATTTTACGTAAATCTCAGTATTTGCGAAAATATATAATTAGCCATGAATAAGCGGGAACAGTTTTAAAGAGCTCCATGATAATCATTTAATTAAAAAACCAAGTATCTGCAACATTCCATTATCGAAACTTGAAGAATGCGACATTTGATGAATTCTTTCTATGTCTGAATTATTTAGGGTTTAACCGTACGACTAGATATATTTTAAAACGTGGCTGTAAAATGTATTAAAACGAACTTTCTCTAGTTTCACTACAGCGAGTTATTGGTTTGGTCCCTTTCCCAGCAAGCGATCACTTTCTATCACAATTTGGCATATTAAGTATATGTTTTTCTCTTTTTATTTCGGAGAATGCTTTTTGTATCAAAAAGTAAAATCAGACAACTCTTAAAGTTTAAAGATTGTTGAATCATAGGCTAAAGCGGGATTGAATATATATTGAAGAAACCGACTGCATCTCGCCCTTGTTAGTCCCGGGTGTTGAGTGGTTGATATCAAGGGTGGAGAAGTGAGACTTGGTATATTGAGAGTGAGATATCATGTTCTCGATCTCCTTACTCAGATAAACACTTCATTCTTCCTTACACACGTGTATTTATCCCTCCCACAGTCAACAATAATAGTCCAATAGCTACAAATAAAGTTCCAGTTGATTTGTGAGGTAAAATAAAAGGCCTGTCAATATTTCAACATCATTTATGTTCTTTTTATACACTTTTAATCTAAAAGATAAAGAATAAATAATGATAATGAAAGAACCTGTCAAATCATTCGTTGGGATGTTTAGAAAGATGAAAATTTCCCTGTATGATAATTGAAGGACTACAGTATGGTTTTGGTGAATTATATTGGCGTACAAAGCCTAGGGGTGTCAGAAATGATTTTTTTGCATATTTTTAAAAACTTCTATAAAACTTTTTAAGTTTAATTTTTGATAAAACTTTTTGTTCTGGATGATTGCAAATANACTGCAGTCCTTCAATTATCATACAGGGAAATTTTCATCTTTCTAAACATCCCAACGAATGATTTGACAGGTTCTTTAAAACCTAATGCTTTATAACCTTAACTATTTGAATTTGATGAAATGTATTTCTTTTTCTATAGAGCTTGGCTTTTTTTTATCATAATTGACAATTTTATTGTGAACAAATCTAGTCTTACAGCAAAAATATTTAAAACATTCTTTAAGATTCGCTTTTTTCATTTAGTTTTATCAATAAAATTTTCAGTTCTGGTTTTTAATGGTGTCTAAAAATCATACTAATAATGAGATATGAATTAATATTTTCCCTGATTCCTTAGAAATTTATCATCTCAGAATAAACATATAAACGCACTCTTTTTTCATCCTCTTTATGTCATAGCTAGCTGAAATGAAGTCTAAAGGAAATTTAATTAAGAAAATTATTTTTTTATTTCAAATTTTTAGATAACTTCATATTTGAGAATATGTATAGGAGAGTAATAATGAAAACAATCTTTTTAAGTTACACTAGAATAATTTATTAACCCATTAATCTTTTAAATTTTAGATAACTTTTTTAATCAATAAGATTTTGTTTGAAAATATTGGGAGCATTAATGAAAAAAAAAAATTAAGCTATTAAACAGATTTTTTTGATGCATCAATATAATTTTTAGAATTATTTTTTTAACTATAGAAAATATTTGAGAATATGGATAAGAGAATACTATATTGATGTATTACAGTGCAAAAATGCAAGTATGTGAGTATACCCCGAGGTTGTCCTCTCTATTGACCGAACAGCCTCTAGCAAACCTCACCCTAGCCCCCAGCTAGTCTCTGGCCTCCTATTGGATCCTCTATCCGGCCTCTAGCGCTGTATATCTGTCCTCGAGGCCAGGTATTGGTGGGATATCCCGGCCTCAAGGAGGGGAATCCTCCAGCCTCAAGGTAAACGGTCACCCAAGAGGCTGTTTAACCTGGCTCTAGGGTAAGAAAGGCCGGAGGCCAGCTTGAGCAGCCTCTAGCAACGTCTTGGCCTCTTAAAGATATTAGTGTGCAGTGTGAAGAGTACAGGAGGAAGAGGTGGAGTAAACAAACTTTAAACAATTCAGGGCATTTCGCGCCACATTAAAAATTATTTACCAAATACGTTGTAATATATGTTTAAATTTATTTAGTTTAATGAAAATCCTCGGACACAGCCGAAAAAAAAACCAAAAAATATTTTCTAACCTATTCGGTTCTGGCGTTTCATAAAGCAAAGGCTTATTAAAAGTATAAACATTTATTATCAAACTAATTATACTTTATAACTAATGTTTAGTTTAATAAAGAAAATTGTACAAGTTAAGAAGGATTTACTGTTCAAATTTTTATCTTTTTAGTTTAAAACCAAAAGAAAAATAAAGTTTAGATTAATTGATTTCATGAAATGCAATCGAATTTTTGTAATTAAAAATTATCAAAATATAAAACTTTTTTCTGCAGGATATTTCTAGATGGATAGCTCGGCAATGTGGGCTTTCGGAAATCGATATCACCAGGTATAGAAAAGACCTTTTTACGGCGTAAATATACCCTCAACTCATTTAACAGTACTGTACATGTTGGATCTGTACAGACAGGATACTGAGATCAGTCCGTACAACGAGCAACTACAGGTATACAGTACAGTACATGTTGGATCAAATTTTAACTTTTTACCAAATTCACTCCACTCTACATTGAGTTTGAAATGATATTTGACCGGGGGGAAGGAGGGGGGGCGGGGTGGTTTTGGTAGTGTGCGGCCATGATAGTTAAATGTGTATATCTATAGGTTTTTCATAACATTTTTTTAATATTTGAACTTTGAATTTTTCAACAAAATATAATTTTCATTGAAATCTTTATTAATGTATAAAAAAAGTTTTAAAAAGTTCTTCCCAGAAACAAATGCACAACGCTCTGTCTCAAAACCTTTATCCGCATTTTTTCCAATTTCTCAAACTGAGGCTATAGAAACATGGTTGTTGTAGTTCTCAAATGTTCATGTTTAGGGCTACAAAAAGTAGAAGTGAATTATGAAGGTAAAACCATGAGGCCAAGATGTTGCAACACTTCAAAGTCGAGCGGGCCATAACTAACGCCCCTGATCCCTGAACTAAATATATTTGTTTTCCTAGAAACCCCGGTCTTTTGAGATAGAATTGTATATAAAAGGTTGCAAACTACCCCGTTAACAAACATGATATGAGTCTTTCCATTCAGAGTTGGAGATAAAAGCAGCTTATAGTGCCTAGTTATGACTGCCTTAGGCATATACAGGCCTCCAAGCCTCGGTAGGATCCTAAACCATAAACTACCGTGGTAAAAAACCGGAAGCCGTGTACATAAATAAAGATATAATAGGTTTGTTCATGTACAGAGTACATAACATGTTTTTTGAAATCGTAAAAAATACAAATGTTCATACTTATGTTTACAAATGCAAATAATGATTTAAAAAGATTAAGGGTTAATTAATTGCTACCATCTATCTATATATACTTTGCTTGTCTGTCTGTCTGTAACCTTCTTCTTCTCAAAGACTTTATTAAACAAACAGAAACTTTTAAATTTATAAAATTATTTGTAACCAATAAACATCAAAACGGCTAAACCGATCGGACCCAAATTTTGTGTGGGACCTTACATGACCCCAGAGAAGTTTTATATTGTACACAGGGAAGATGCTCACAGATAGAGTTACAAATTAAAGATGGAGCAAAGCGAAGCAAAGTTTTTAGTAAACATTTCTTTAAATTCAGTATTTCAGGATCGTCTGAGTGGATCGTCAGGATTGGGAGGGTTAGGAGGGATCCCCGGAGGATCAAGAGAGTTTCAACCTCCATACTTTCCTCCACCCTTCTCCCAGGGAGGAGCAGAGATGTTTAATCATCAACCCGAACCATACTCCAATATCCATTTTCACCAGGTAAAAGGAACAGATCAAGAATCTTAAAGTCTGATACAGGGTTACCCACAAAGGATGTTACAGAAATGGAACCATGTTCAAGAAACTGAACTGCATCTATATATAAATTTGGATTGTCTGTCTGGGTGTCTGTCTGTTTGTCTGTTTGTTTGTATCCAATAAACGTCAAAACGGCTGAACCGATCGGGCCCAAATTTTTTGTGGGACATCACGTGCCCACGTGGAAGGTTTATGAATGATCAAAATTTCAAATATTTGTCTCCATCAAAATTCGATCTTCATTAAATTTTTGAAAATCCACGAAATGTTTTGTGAAAATCCGCGAATTATTTTTGTTTTGTTTTACGATGTACACAAAGAGAACATGTTCACAATTAGTTTAGAATTTGGGCACGAAGCGCCCTATAAGACTAATATATATATTTGATATTTACATATATTTTAGATATAGCCGGCCAAACGGCTGGACAGAATGGGCTGAATTTTTTGAGGGAACCCATGGCTGCCCTGGGAGTAACATGGGCTACAATTTTTTTCCTTCAAAAATCTAAAATTTTTTCTTCAAAAATCTATTTTTAAAAAAATTAAAATTTGCTTTTCCACGGGCAACGCCAGGCCCTTTAACTAGTTTAAGAATATTTTGAAACAATTTTCAGAAATGTTTTCTGAGATTTCTGCGCAACAAAGCAATCTCACTCTCACATCTTTGCATCATCAATTTTGTGCAACTCTCTCCTCCCGAGATCCAACCCAGAAACTAATTTCCGTCCTTCATATTTTTAGTTGTCTATTCTAGAGTTTATCACACACTTTTCTCTGATTTATGGACCCGGTTCTTTGACATAAAAAACATTCGATAATCTATGGAGTAAAAACGTGTCATAAAATTCACTTTAACGCTCTGAGAACAAGATTATTTTAAACTTTTTTTGACTCGAAAATAAATATTGATTCTTGTATAGGGAGGGAATTCTCATGGAAGTTTTGGATATGAGATGAGACGAGATCCTTACAGGCAGGATACTGAGATCAGTCCGTACAACGAGCAACTACAGGTATACAGTACTGTACATGTTGGATCTGTACAGACAGGATACTGAGATCAGTCCGTACAACGAGCAACTACAGGTATACAGTACAGTACATGTTGGATCCATACAGGCAGGATACTGAAATCAGACCGTACAACGAGCAACTACAGGTATACAGTACAGTACATGTTGGATCCGTACAGTCAGGATGCTGAAATCAGACCGTACAACGAGCAACTACAGGTATACAGTACAGTACATGTTGGATCTGTACAGTCAGGATACTGAAATCAGACCGTACAACGAGCAACTACAGGTATACAGTATTACAGTGCATATTTTACATAGATAAGCTTGTACAAGGAAATCTAGGAATAAAGAACAGAATATTGTTCATCTTTGTTAAATACAAGGTTACCCACAAAGGTGAGACTTCAGAGACGAATTTACGAAATAAATATTGTCTGTTTCCTTATATTCATGATTCCCTGCAACTGTTAACTTACTTATTACTTTGTTAAATCAATAAATAAATCACCATATTTAAAAATTTTCGGGTCGTCTTTACAGTTTCAACTTTTGTGGGTAACCCTGTATAATGACAGATATTCAATCGACTTTTTTTAGATTTCTGGAATGGATTCAAACTTCATGGATGTGCCATTCTCAATCAAAAAAGAACTTGGTACCTACTTTAAAGCTTATTAACCAGGAAGTTTATTTTACAATGATCAAGCATCCTTATCACGAATAGTGGAATCATAATTTGTAAAAACCAATAAATAATAATGAAGACATTGGAAACGGACTAAAATTTTATGGAACGGAGTAGTTTTGGTCTAAAAGACTATTTCTTTCGGCCTTAAATATTGGTATAAAAATATCGTCGAAAAGTAGTTAAAAATCACGTCAAAAAGTGGTTTAAAAACTAGAAGAAATGTCGACTATGACACAATAAATTACGATTTTAATTCTTTAGAAAAGTCGAGTTAAAATCGACGTTTGTTTGCTGGGAACATTATCAGTCAAGAAAAGCGATCTAACATAAAAAGCATGATTATATATTTTTCCAGGGTCATTTCCATTTTCTCAAAAGACAATTTACGATGGTCAACGATATTTTTCCTAGCGGCACTTTTCCCGTAGCATATTTTTGCAAGATAATGGTACTCTGTCCTATCAAACAGAGATTTCCTTAAAGTTTAAGACAAAAAAAAACATTTTAGAAAATGTAAATTGGGAAATCATCATTTTTGAATTTAAGTGCATTGATTCTAGGATTCCGTTCAAGGGATTGGAATCAGAAATATGAACTTCTCCGACCCTCCAACAACGATATTTTCTGCAGTGTTCCGGGTAGGCTCTCCCTCCTCTCCTCAACCTCTAAGTACAAGGTCACCATAGCTGAGGTTCAGAGAAGACTCTCTCCTCCGGAGTGTCTCAATGCGTCCCTGCTGGGAGGAGTTCTCCGACGGTAAGTTTTAAAATTGAATCTAAATTTCAAATTTTTCAAGTATAGCAATGCTTTCTACCATGAGATGTCGCCTTATATTTTCTTCTGTAAAAGTAAAACGTTATTCGTGATTTGAATTTATGAAATGTGTGTTTAATAAAAACTTTATTTAAAGCTACTTAATTGTTATTCTTTTTTACATTAAAACTATTTTAATTGTGAACAAGTTCTTTTTGTATACATTGTAAAAAAAAAGTTTTGTTAGACGGCAAATTTTTGAAAATTCGATCATCCATAAACCTTCCCTGGGGTCACGCGAGGTCCCACAAAAGAATTTGGCCCCGATCGGTTCAGCCGTTTTGACGTTTATTGAATACAAACAAACAGACAAACCCCAAAAAAAGACCCAGACAAGCAAAGCATATATAGATACAACGTGATCGATGCACGAAATTTAAACAAAATGGAGGCTGTATTTAAAACCGGTTTTCATCCAAGTGTACTTCAAGCAGCATTTCAAACTAAATATTTAAAAAGGAACCGCCGCACGAAAAAAGATTGTTTTAGATTGAATAACTTTTAAATTATCCATACTGTTTTCTAAAAATATCACAATTTTAGAGCCAAGTCTAAGAATGGGGGAAAACTGTTGAGAGACAAGCTGGACAGATTAGGATTAAACCTTCCTGCTGGCAGAAGGAAGGCTTGTAACGTGACCCTGCTGACATCCCTGGTGGAGGGGGAGGCGATCCACCTGGCCAGGGACTTCGGGTACGTGTGTGAGACAGAGTTCCCAGCCCGGCAGGTTGCGGAGTATCTCTCTAGCCGTAGCTCTGATCCATACAGAAGAAAAGATTTAGTTATTGCAGCAAAGTAAGATATTTGAAGAAAAACATTTATTTAGAATATAATGTTTTCTGAAAAATATTGTTATGGTTTTTATCTTTAGATACATCTGCAAGGAGTTGATGGACCTGTTGAACCAGGATAGATCTCCTCTCTGCAACACCAGACCCCAACCTATCCTAGATCCTAGTATACAGAGACATCTAACCCATTTCTCCATGATTACACACGGGTTCGGTTCTCCAGCAATACTTGCAGCAATGACAGCCATTCAGGTAGGAGAACAATTTTAAGATCCAAGACTAGAAAATGATAGTATTTTGTGGATTTACATTACCCCTGGCTGGATTTATTTCTTGGTGAGGAAGACGATTTTTAACTATTTTAATCTTGAACTATTTAGAATTGTTTAAATGAGAGTATCAAAGAAACTGAAAGATCTTACTCTGGACCTGGATTTGATAAGTCACAGATACCGTCGCATTCTACCCTTCAACCCAAACAGATGAATAAACCTTTAAATTCTCTATCATTCAATAAAAAATAATAATTAAAATGATATTTAACTGTAACATTATTGCTGTTGTAAATACATACTTATTAGTGATTATTCACGAATTTTAATCTAGTAAAAGCAAGGAGTATGGAATAGAAGGGAGATACAACTGACGCGGTCCGCCCTACCATGTGATTATACATGCTTTGCAGACGGTACTTCATTTGAATAAGAAATATTTTTCTGATGTACAATTACCGCGTATACAATAACCTATTCTGAATATTTTTATACAAATGGAGTACTCGTCTGCAAAGCATGTATAATCATATGGTAGGGCGAGCCGCGTCAGATCCATCTCCCTTCTATTTCTTACTCCTTGAGTAAAAGCAACCCTCCAACACAAATTTTCATCAAAAAAGACATTTTAGAAGAAAAAGAGTTTATTAGAGTATTATTGTGATAAAGATTTTTAGGAACCATTTCTTTAACGATGGTTTTTTTGTTGGATGGGGGAGGGGGGGTGAAATATGAATGCATAATATAATATATTATATCTATATAATGTAAAAAAGGTGAATATTGTGGGATAATAAACTATGAATAATGAAAGAAAAGGTGAGGGGAAGGGGGAGGAGAAAGAGGCCAAATTGCTTAAAATTATAGATAGATAGATAGATAGATAGATAGATAGATAGATAGATAGATAGATAGATAGATAGATAGATAGATAGATAGATAGATAGATAGATAGATAGATATAATAGTTAAAAATATTTTGAAATATTTGAGTTTAAAAATTTAGAGAAGTTAAATCTCAATGTAAAGACGACTGAAACCGAAAATCCGGGAATTCGGAAAAGTCTTTTTTTTGAGTTAGAGATATCATGGAAACCTGTAATTGGTAAATCATTAATATGAGCAGAAGTTGAGATGGATACGACCAGTTCAACTAGCTATTTAACTCTCAGACATGTAAATTGGTTCTTAAGACCATGTTTATTGTTTTTGTTTGCGACCCACTTCACAATCAAAATATTGTCGACTTAATAGAGATTGTCGACTTAAAAGTCGACAATTCCTTTTACCCGACTTAAAATTATAAAGTTTTTGTTTGACTCTTGACAACCACTTTAGATATATTCTCAGGGCCGGGGTTATAATTTATATAAATTAATAATCATCCGGCCAGGTGATAAAAGAAAAAGAATCAATAGACGGAACCGATATTTAGATGATTTTCTTAAAGCAACCGGTGTTCATCGTTGAGTGCTCGGACGAGAGAGGGATGAGTTTTTACTCCGAGTATGACAGGGACTGGGAGCAAGAAACCTCGGAGAGGTTGGGTCTATTATTATTCTGACAAGGAGAGGTATTGATTGAGTTTTCATTAGTTAAAGATTAGGTTCAACCCTAAGCTCACGAGAGAAGGGTTTAACTTGATAAAAAAGTTGAGAAATTAACAAGCGCCATGTTTAGTTAAATGCGAACTTGGGTTACAAATTAAAAACTTTATTGTTAATATTCAATTTTGTCGAAATGTAAAAGCGTTCGTGAAACAAAATGTTCGACAATTGTAGCATCATTTTTTCTTTAACCTTAGATATTTCTTTTACTGAAGAATTTAATTTGCTGGAATATATGGATAAAAAGTTTATCATTAGACATGGACATACTAAATTTGAGTACATCGCTTTTAAGTCTTAACATTTGCAACTTTAATGATTACTGTCTGATTCACAACAGTACCTAATTAAAGCTTTATCTGGGCAAAAATAAGAAAGATACGTATCGTCTTTAAACATGTTGAATTCTGACAATGTCTTTTCTTCGCTTTACCGTGTAAATGTACTAGTCACTTATACAGAGAAACCACAATTGAAACGTATCAATTTTCAGACAGTAAAAAATATTTCCGTAATTTTAGCCGTTGTAAATCTGGCGTGATCTCTTGAAATTAGGTTGACCATCCCTCTAAGAGAAAATGTTTCTTCCAACTTACAATGACATTTTCAAATTTATTTACTGAAACCAAAAATGTTCCAAAACGTAAGAATACAAATAAAAAAAAGGCCAACACGCATTTTGTTCTTTACACCATGTATCATTGTATAATGTATACAATATACATGAACACAAATATATATGTATTAAATATGAATTGTATTTATAAAGATTAATAATAGTAAATCTATGGAAACCTTGCTCTAGGGAGAAAACAAAGAAATTGGTTTTCTATTTATAATATAAACAATCCCCTAAGCTCACAAGGCACAAATACTGACCCTTCTTATTAAATATCCGTCCTGTAAGAAATAAGTTTATATCATGTTTTCATTTGGCCTGGTATATAGGCAAGTATTAACAAAAACCTGGTAATTTTGGAGACACTTCATAATTTCTGAAAATGCGTTTGATTAAAAACGAAAACATTCAATTTATTATCTAAGCGTAATAGCGTACCCATCGATCGATTTAGTCCCATATCAATGGTCGTCTTCGGAGGTAAAATGAAACTCCGACGCTGTTCAGGAATGTGTAGTAATAATAATGATGCTCTAAGAATCAGTGTTAGGTTTGAAGAAATGGTTTGACTCCGGAAGTCTCTACATTCCAAACCTTAGCAAAGTATCATAATTGAGAAGATAACCGTCCCAGGTTTGAATAAACACAGACAAACTTGGCCTGGAATTTTGATGATGGCTTAGAATATGCACTAGTGGTCTGAATCATTCATAATTTTAGCAATAGTTCTTGTAGAGTGTAGACTATACAGTATAGGGTCAAACTGAATGGTATGTTGTCCTTACTGCAATTGTAAGCATAAGTATTACAAAAACAGATTACTCGTCACAAACTCTAATCTTATAATTCTTACATTTTTGACATTTCAAATGATGAATTTTTCTAGATCATATCGTCAACATTTAGAAACATCAAAGGTTTACACCATCAGTATTTGGAAAGATATAGGGAATAGAAAAATAGAGTTTTAAAATTTCTATTGCAAATATTTTTTTCTTTAACACTACATTAATATGAATAGTATTGATCTTAATCTTCAAATATATATTTTCCTAAATCAGATGATCTGCTCGGGTGGGGTTTATCTTAAAACAATGATGTTCTTAAAGTTGAGTACTCACCAATAGCAAAGGAAAATCTGCAACATTTGTTTCGTGTAGTTACATCATAATATACGAGAAATAATTTGATGAACACTTGTCACCAGCTCTAATTTTCTAATCCTTATATCTTTTATACCTATGTTGAAGACATTAGATATTTCAAACTTAGAATTCTGATTGATCAATTGATTGTAGTTTGAAATATCTAAAAGTTACACCATCAGGTTCCTAAGATATAGAGATTAGAAAATTAAGTTTGCGGTAGATGTCCAGTTACTGTAAAAGCTAAAATTATAATTATCAAAATTATTATGTTGAGAGAGGGGTGCGAATCCTCGTTTATTACAAAAGAATTGATTGACACCGATAATTTGATTTTTTTTACATTCATTTATCCACCTTCATTCATCTGAATAATATTATGATTTTCTGAAGATTTCATTGGAAATTTATCAAAACAATCTGAAAACTAATTAGGTTTTCATTTGATGAGATTGCCCTGATCCTAACTTTGTTTTGATGTACACAGTTGACAGACTGGCAGAGAATCTGATGAGACAAGAAGATAGGGACGGATATTATGGATAATACGGATTGAATGGTATCCTGCTCCAGGTCTAGTAAAGTGCTGGAAGGAAACTAGGGACTCCGGATACACCAGGAGCCTACAGCTATCCTTTAAGCCAAGCTCCAGGATACTACCAGATACAGAGCTAAATAAAACCAGTAATCTTTTAAATAATATCATCACTTCTTTAAACACGGAGTCGGATGCTAAAAATATCTCACTCTTCTTTAAGAGAAGGACAATTCACAGCAGTACCTTTTATCCTAGTTAAGTATAGATTGTCTGCATTTTAGAAAAAACACGGGTTCTTTTTATCCATTTTCCAATATAAAAACACGGGTTCTTTTTATCCATTTTCCAATATAAAAACAATAATGTATTTCCACTATTTTGTTATTCAGTCAATCGTTAAAGGCACAAATGTTGTTGTTAATATCACGTGCACACATGGAGGGTCAGTTAGAATTTAGTAAACAATCCCTTTTATCAAGATAAGTTGAATATCAGTCCTAATTCTAACCTGGATAAGAGAAGATGTATAAACCGGGTAGATTTCAAGATAACTCCATTCTCCGATATAACCTGGAGAAGGAGGATGAAATCTATTGAAACCAAGAGAAGGACTGATGCTTATCTAAATTGGTATCAATCCATAGTAGCTGATATTTAGACTGATACAATACTAAAGTGAACAGATATAAAACTGTCATAAAACCCTGGAATTTCAACAACTTTTCTCACGAGAGCTTGGAAAAAAGAGGAATTTGTTGAAAAAAAATAATTAGCTTTCTTCTATACAACGTTTAATTGACGGAACTTGAAGTTACCCTCCATCTATAAAGTGGCATGTCCTATTTGCAACGGTACCCTTTGAACCTCTTTCTGAGTAACAATAAGGAGGATATCGTCATTTTTCTATGTAAAAAGTGTTGAATTCTGTCGATTTTCTCTACTAATGACAGCTATAAACGCAAGACAGAGAAACTAACATTGAAAAAAATCAGACAAATAAAGAGCAAATATAAGAGAATAGATTATTAGAGTTTGAGAAGAGTAATAAATTTCTTTGAAGACTACAAAAGCTAATAAATGCAGAGTAAAGAAAAGTTTCAATCCTCATGTTTCTTGGGCCTCTGTTGTAAAATCAAATCATATTTGTAACATCAGAACTAAAACCTTATAAATTATAGAGCTAAGGCTTGACCGACATATACAGTATAACAGCATATTATATAAGCGACATTGTATTTCAAATTATTAGGACACACACACCTTATTTCAAGGGACGGAGAGAAACTCATGACACGAGATGGAATAATGAATGTTTACCGTATGTTTGGGTTTAGATCTGACTAGTACTGGTTGAAAAACAACAATTATCCTGTCTAGACGTAAACCTTCAATGCATAATATCCTGG